AATCGCTAATATTTTTACACGTGTTTTTTGTTTTACGAAATTTGTCATTAAAGGTGCTGTTTAAACTAAAATTTGTATTGCAAATAATCGGTTCTACGTAAAGACGTAGTTTAGTGTGTTAAAAGTTAATAGAAATGTAAGTATTTTCTTAATTGGGTAATACAATTTTGTTTGTTTGACGAAGGACATGTGTCTAGTTTTTAGATATAATGGGTGGGTGTGCCGCTGAAGGATGCAGCAATTCCGCAAAGAAAGGTTTCTTGATGAAACGATTTCCGAGGGACCCAAAAAGAAAGCAGGAATGGATGGAATGGATAATCAAAATGAAAAAAGGCAACTGGCAACCAACTGATGCAATGCGCTTATGCGAAGTAAGTTTATTCTAAGTTTATTTAATCATGTCCTACGAGATAACTTTTACACTTCTTAATTAACATGGAGTACATATATTATTAAATAACTAGTTATTTCTGTAGGTCCACTTTGGTCCCGAGATGTGGGAAAAGACCCGCGTAGATGGAAAGCGTGTACTAAAATGTAATGCTGTTCCGACAATGTTTGCTTTCTCCAAATCAACATTAACAAGAAAAGCACCTACACCAGAAAATACGTCAGTCCAAGAATTAAGTAAGTTTATACTCAATTGCTTAAAAATAATTACTGTACCTATACCTTTTTCATTGACAATTTCCGTAAACAAACATCAAAACTGGTTATATAAATTGCTATTCTAAAATTGCAAAATGTGTATAGTAGTATACCTACTAGCAGATGTAAAATACATTTTTTATGTCTTAGATCAAACCACGGATTATGGTATCAGTGATCCAGAACCTTTAACATCAGCGGCATCATCAGACATCCTTTCTGTCACGTTAGATGAAAATATTCGAGAATCGTCACCGTCAACCTTAACAGCTTCGACTTCATTCATTGATGTTCATAAAGACTGCAAATCTAAATTTTTGCGATATGAAAAAATGTATATAAGAGAAAGACAAAAGGCCAGACGGTACAAACAAATGTTATGTAACATTAAGAAGGAAAACAAAACCTTAAAAGATAAGGCAAGCAATATTCCAGATGAATATCCTATATTAAGAAATATTTTTAATGAGGATCAAGTAGAGGTTTTGAAGAAACGAAAAAGCAACCGATCAAGTAAGGGCTTGAAGTGGTCAAATTCTACAATTACTAAATCGCTCAAACTCAAATTCAGTTGTGGAGGTAATGGCTATGAGGAGCTGCTAAAACAAGGCCATCCTCTTCCTTCAAAACGAACCCTGCAAAGAAGACTACAGAATCTAACATTTGATAGTGGGATTTTAATTGAAGTTTTCGAGTTTTTACAAACAAAAGTTGAATCATTTTGTGAATTTGAAAAAGATTGTGTTTTAGTGTTAGACGAAATGGCCATCACTCCAGGCAACACGTACGATTCATCTCTTTCCAAATATTTTGGTGATGTGACTTTACCAGAGCATACTGGAATAGCAACTCATGTGCTAGTTTTTATGTTGGGTGGAATTACTGTGCGTTGGAAACAGGTCGTTGCTTACTATTATACTAGCAATTCGGTGAATGGTACAGTTTTTAAAGACATTATAATGGAAATCCTTAAAAGAGCGGAAGAATTAAAACTGAACATTCTAAGCGTAACATCAGATATGGGTGCTTCTAATCAAGCATTGTGGAAAGCATTGGGTGTTATGGCAGGAAGGCATTCTGAAACTAAATGCAAAATTCCCCACCCAATAAATAACAATGAGTATGTATATATGTTTGCTGATGCACCACATCTTTTTAAGAATATTAAATCTATGCTTTTGTCAAATAAAATAATAAGAATACCCGACACGCTAAAAGAAAAATATAAATTGCCCACCAATGAAATAAGAGCAAATCATATTTCGGAAATTGCGGCATACCAAGAAGAACACGAATTTAAATTGGCACCAAGATTGTCAGAAGCTGATTTGCTGCCATCACATTTTAATAAGATGAAGGTATCTACTTCTACCAACATAATTAGCCACAATGTTAGCAGTGCCCTCAAGTTTCTTGCAGAAGAAATGAAAAAACCCGAGTACTTGACAACTGCTTGGTTTTTGGATCAAGTCGAACAATGGTTTTATTTAATGACATCCCGACATCCATCGAGTGCATTAAGCAAGTATAATAAATGTGCATATACGGATTCCATAACCTTTTTAAAGGATTTTATGCACATTTTTAAATCTTTAGAAGTTGGAGTGAAGAAAGTTTGGAAACCTTCGCAGACAGGTGTGTTAATTACAACGCAGTCACTGTTAGAACTCCAAGAACATCTTCTAGAAAACAAACAATATAAGTTTATTCTGACTAGTAGGTTTACTCAGGACTGCTTGGAAAATCTGTTTTGTGTTTTAAGAAGCAAACAAGTAGTACCAAATGCTTTACAAGTCAAAAACCATTTAAAGTTGATTTGTGTCGCGCAGTATTTAAAAAACCCCATCAGAGGCAGCTACGATGAAGATGATAGAGAATTTTTGTCAGGTTTTTTAGACACCTTACCTCATCTTATCCGAAAATATGATGAAGTAAAGATTCCAGAACAAGTAAATTACGATGGATATAATTTAAATTTTAGTGAACTAAATTCTTTGTACAACGTTTGTGGATATTTAGTCCACAGTATAATGAAAACTTCAAAAACATGTCCACGATGTTTGGCGGCTGTGGGTTCCAAAAAACCGATAAAAAATGTGTTTTCTAAGTTTACTAATCTTAAAAGATTCAAAGAAAATACACTTTTCTTCTGTACAGAAGAATTTTTTCATTTTGTTTTGCAATTAGAATGGATATTTAAAAAGTTTTTTCCCATAGTTTCAACTCAAAATATTAATTTAAAGGAGTTTTACTTGGAGAAAATGAACTTCAAAGATGTTTCAATCCCCGAATGTCACCGGTTAAAATATAAATTTATTAATAGATTTGTAACATTCAGGTTAAAAATAAGATCAATGAAACGCTAGGCCTCAAGTGCAATATACGCCAGCAAATCAGTTGCTGGCCATTGTAAATAAACACATTTTTCTACCTGTGAATTTTGTCTTTACCTATTTCTAAATCTCTGAGAACTGTTGTCATGTCCCTAACACAGTCACTGTACGTCCAACTATAGCGTCTAACCATTCCCCAGAGTTTCGTCACAATCAGTTAGTGTAAACCTCAGAGGTGTAACCAGTACTTACTACAGTCGCTGTAAATCGGATAAATGGTTGGCGCCATCTATTAGTTATGATTGTTATTATTAGTTTGCTCCAATATGGCCGATTTATGATAAGTTGTCGCCACTGTCCCTATAAAGTCACTGTAGGGCGTTCGAGATACCAAAAATATACGGGGTGTCAATTTTAAAACGTGCAGTCGGCCATATTTTCCAAACTAAAGAAGATATTGAAAATCGCGCAAAACCGTTTCGGGGGTATCGAGCGGGAACCAGAATGCCGTTATGACTGACATCCCCCTGCCCCCTCACCCCTCAGCAAAAATCCTAAATGGCAACCCCATACTTGTGACACATCGTTGGAAAGCTACTGACAAATGCTTTCCAGTCGTATCAGTAAAGTCAATATTCATTAAGACAATTTGACAAAAATTTAATAATCAACAAAAAAAACATTGAGGGATTTATGGCAAATTTGCCAAGAACTTCAACCTGAGTGGCTTCATTAAGCAATCTTGGTTGCTTTCTTTTTCTATAACAAGAATGATAAAAGAACCCTGTTAGTTTACGTAGCGACCTTTCTTATATCCTTAAGAACATGCGTCCCAATTTTGAAAGCGATCCGACGTTTCTAAAGTTATCGTGCACACGGATAGACGGACAGACAGAAAACAGGCAGACAAACAGATAATACAAAATTATAAACCATCTCCAGGATCGTTATTAAACGGCACAGGTGTAAAATTAAGTATGGTACGTACCTACATGAAAAAAATTATTTTTTACTATAACTTTTTTAGTAATAAACGCTTTCTCCTTGTGGCAAGCCTCGACGCCATAGCAAACCGAAAAGTGAAAAAAGTAGAACAATAGCTCTTAAGATAAAGATCTAGTAGCGACCGGACGGACGGACAGAGGGGCGGACAAAATGGGCACGTGCGCGCGACGTAACCCTTTCTTAAGTACGTATGAGCTCCATCTTATCCATTCAGGATGTCATCTCCAACGACGCATTCTACCTCAATCGGAGTGTTTTAAGGTAGGCCGCCCTACTGTGAGTTACCCAATTAATCGACTACGATCGCCGATAGGCATTTGCGATACCTATTGTTTACCATAGCCATACTGAATGCTGCCATTCCACCCCTTATGAATATAAAGAGGGGCGTTTTTAATGAAATACAAGTTTACAGTAGATATTTGTCGCATCGTAATCATTGAGATTTGACCAATAGTTAGGCCCCAATTGTTTACCTACTACCGTTTGGAAAATATCCAGTTCCTTACACAAGATAAATTATGTTCGCCAATTACATAAATAAATGGTAAAATCTGTTTGCTGACTTTTGTCTAATCTAATAATATTAATGAAAATTGAGGATTATTTCTATTTTGAGGGTTCTTCTTTGTACGAATTGTACCTCACTTAAAATGTCAAAGGTCAAAGTCAATTTGGAAGTTTCATAAGTTTATTAATACCTAATTGCTTGTTAGGGATTTCCAATTTAAAAAGCTCTCTCATAAAATCCAAATGAATGGCAATACCGAAATTGAATTCCTCTATTAAAAGCCGACTGAATTTCCTAATGGACCCTTAATTACAATATGCAATATGAAATCTTAGATATGCCCCTTTGCAAATACAAATTCCGGTAACCTGAATAGTATATCAAAGTATTGACAATCAGTTTCATTACTGAAATACCAGTGCTCAGCGGAAATGGGAAAAAAAAACTTATTCGTATTCTGAAACATATCTAACAAAATAGCATGCGTGACACTAATGTTTTTTATGTTCTTGTTTATTCCAACTCATAAATCTCGGACGTTCATTCAAACCCGTGTCTGTATATTTCGAAAATGAATTCCAGATATTTCAGTTAAATAGATTGGTTTTAAACGTAATATTCGTGTAATATTAGTAAGGCATGATACCTGGATCCTAATCAAATGACATGTAAATAAAGTCTTGAACGTTGTCCAATATCAAATATGTCGACTTTTGTTACCTAAATGCAAAAGCTCGCTGTCACGTTTATTGTTCAGAAATCTTAAAGTCATAGGTCGTAGGTCTGCAGATTCCAAAATCTGTCTGGGCAGTTTAGTGAGGATATGATTTAAAATGGGCGCTGTTTTCAATATAGCGAAATTGTGAATTTCAGTACATTATTATTCCCCATACTGTGTTGTTGCCCTCTTGAATCAAATATCGTCCTAAGTGTATTTATTTTTCTTATACCGGGTGTTTTTGTTTCATTTTCATTATGGGGATCTCTTAAACCGTGAGATACAAGCTCGCTTAAACGGGCAAAGTTACGCAGAATTTTCCCTTTCAAAGTTTGTTGTAACTCTACAAATAGCGAAGTTATGTCCAAAAAACCGAAAAATGTCTTGTTTTGTTGTCTTTTTAATCATAATTTTTCTGTTTGTAAAGGTACAAGAAAATTATTATATTATGTATGAATAAAAATTTATTTTAATTATTTTATTTTTAACGTAGGTATAAAATTCGTCTACTCAAAAACGTATACCTTACTACCAATTCTGAATTTATCCTATCAAAGCGCTTTAAAGACGTTTTTTAAACGTAAGTGTGTTTGCCGAGTCATTATCGTTACCAACTTCACGCCACTTTTGGCAGTACTAGGGTTATGTGCCAATCGTTCTAATCATGGAGGCAGAACAAAGGGACTGAAAGCTAGGCGTGTGACCGTTGGAAAACCGGAATCCATAGATATAAACAAATCATATAATTTTCTCTTGGGACTTTTATTTTAAAATTCACCAAAATCTTTAACTGGCACGCTTACTAAGAAATGTTAAGTAATTTGTCGTACCACCGAGTGCGTAAAAAATGCGTATGAAGCGCACGAGTCCTAAAAAATATAAAACATTAAAACGATTTTGCAATGAGATCGTTGTTCATCTGATTTTATTACTCCTTTCTTACTGCAATTATTACATTTTCCTATACTCAAGAAAAAAATCAAATGACACCACTGACATGTTAACCAATCCCGATGATTACTCTATGGAATCTTTCTGCCAAAGTTTAATAAGTAATCATTATTCCTCCTGTAGGAGCAGCAACACGCTGATGGAATTTGAAAAGTATCAGCTATTGGCATACCACTATCTGATACAGATAACAACCTTCTGTAAATATACTTTTGTTTACAGCTTGTAATAAAACCATATGGTGCACTTCCCAGCAGATTACAAGGACCGTTCAATCTGCAAAGAGCTAAAAAATTAATCCATTCCATTTCACTCAATCGTACTTAACGCAAGTCTCAATCCTAACACCCTGCACGTATCCGTCGTTGTCACCTTGATTTATAATGTACTTCCATTTACTATACTTATTTTTACCGGCCTTTGGAAAAATTGTTTTTTCGAGCGAAGCACATATGAAGTTATCATCTGGTTCTCCTATTCGATGCTCGATGGCTCCTTCGTCTACACCAAAAAAACCTTTGGCATCGTTGCGTTTGTTCAGTACAAACTTTATGTGTTCGTAGGGATAACTGGTAACATCTTCGCAGACCGTCGAGGCAGTACCGCATTGCGACACATCAACAGGAAATATTATATCCGCAAGGTCTTCAGTTGAATCGGGAAAAACGATTGCCGAATGCCTCTTAGTCTGATTGGTTAGAACAGGTTGTGTTGGTTCTGAAAAAAATAATAATGTACTTGAAAGTCAGCACTATGATTAAATTTGAACGTTGGCACATTTCATTTCCGGAGAGTATTTGTAGAATAGATGAAGTATCTGACTATGAGAGACCGTGCTTGCCAGAGGTGTGTCCCTAATCCTCTGGAAACCACCTTGGACATTTTTTAAACATTTTACATTGCCGATAATAATTTCACTGGCAATTTTAAAAATCGACACACTCGTAAGGAAATAGTTTTTGGAAAAAACGCAACAACAAGTCGATTTTGGTTGGAAGGGGGACATCTTTTATTTCAAAATTTGCACCCCTGGTGTCAACCCCCTAAATAGGGTTCCCTCCTCTTCAGTAATTTTAAATTGAGTGTTGAGTCGAGTGACATACCATTGGAAAGAGCTATTAATTTCCTACACGCCTTTGGTCATTTGGTGGATACAGGGTGTCAAACCACAAATAATTCAAATGGATCTTCAAGCTTTTACGTGAATAAATACGGTTATAAGAAATAGCACACAAAACAGTCCTGAAGAACGCATGAACTATGAGAAATGAACATAATAAAATCTGCTAATAACCCAGAAAAATTTAGACCCATAAAACTGGCTAAAGCTATCCCTATTATGAACAACTGACGATTTATCTGATATGTCAGATGCTAATGTTTCGGATTGGGTCTTAGCTCAGTACTGATGGTAAAATACTAATACGATTTTATTTCAGTGAACCAGACGTATGTATAACGGGCGATCAAAAATGAGTTGCTGTCGAGTCACCTTTGGAAGTTCAAGTTAAATACGATTTTCCATGTAAACAAAAATTTCAAAGGCGACTCGACAGCAACTCATTTTAGATCACATAGTATTACATAGTTTGTTGTATACCGAGTGGTCCAACGAGAAGTATACAGAGGGCTTTTAGGGTATTAAATTTAGAAATTTCGAAAAATCCTCGAACACGTCAATTTTGTATTCGAGGGGAACAACTTTTGGAATACAAATCAGGAACCCAAGTCTTCACCCCTCTACGTAGGGAGCTTAACCCCTAAAATTTTAAATGGAATCCTATGGCAAATGGCACATTATTTGAAAGCCAATTTAATCGTGATTACTAATCTGCTTTGCTTTTTAAATTCTATTGATTCGTTTCGGAGATAATTCGCATTTGAAATGGTTTTTTTTAAACCAAAACAAATGCGATCTAAGTCACCTTGTATTAAAATTTTATTTTGACGCTTCAATTTGTTTGTTAAACTTAAGTGAACCTGTCAGTTCTCCGAAACGAATCAATAGAATTTAAAAAGCAAAGCAGATTAGTAATCACGATTAAATTGGCTTTCAAATAATGTGCCATTTGCCATAGGATTCCATTTAAAATTTAGGGGTTAAGCTCCCTACGTAGAGGGGTGTAGACTTGGGTTCGTGATTTGTATTCGAAAAGTTGTCCCCCTCGAATACAAAATTGACGTGATCGAGGATTTTTCGAAATTTCTAAATTTAATACCCTAAAAGCTCTCTGCATACTTCTCGTTGGGCCACTCTGTATATTTACCTGAGCCCTAGAGTGAAGTGTATCTTCCAATATAGTCGCTAGAATTTGAAAATTAAACCATAGGCGTGTAGGAAATTCAGAATCCTTTCCAATGATGTGTCACGCGACCACGCGTACAATTTAAAATTAATGAAAGGGTGGCAACCCTACTAAGGGGTTTGACAACAGGGGTGTCTATGTTAAAGTAAAAGAAGTGATAGACACATTCCCAGCGGAAATGTTAACAAAGATAAAACTGGAATGGAGTAATTTAATGGAAATTATTTTCATTTACTTCTACGCGAGCAAAACAATTGATTATTTTTCTTTCCCTTTTCCTTTTCTTCTTATTTATTTAGAACCACGACTGATTTATTTATCTCTCTCTCCCTTTCAATATACATATTTTTAAGTTCATTCCGCTAATTGTTTTATTTTCTTAGTTTAGGGTGGGGTTAAGTGGTAGAGCAGTTCTAGGGTGTTTCACCACAGAACTGAACTTCGCTCTGTTAGATTACGGAAAATTAATTTCATTTAATTTTAATTTTAATTATTTAGTTTATTATCTATTTGAATGTTTATATATATTTTTTTTCCTTCTGTACTTTCAGTAATATAATTATTATTAAGGAATAATGTGATTGGCAAGGATATTATAAGCGAAGAAAACATGAATAAGAGACACGATTACTTTAAGAAGTTGTGTGAAGAGATCTCAAGAATTGAAAAACGGCGTGGTCCGCAGGACAATAACGTATCGCCTGGAATAAGTCGAGAGGAGGTCTACGAGGAATTAAAAAAATCAAATGGGTGTTTCAGTGGAAGGGTAGACAATTTTTGGAGAGGAAGGAAGGAAGGAAGTGTAAGATGTACGATGAAGAGAAGATGCGCGATACCTGCAGAAGCAGTGTTAAGGTGCAAAAAAAGGAGATATCCAAGACTGTAAACATTATAGACATGACATGCCATGAAATGGCAAGAATATGGGAAGAGTTGGAAGGGCATTGTTCATTCTTAGACAGATTTGTGGCAACAGACAAACAAGTATACTTTGAAGTAATTCTTTACGGCTCCACAACAATGGACAGTTTTGGTAGCATTTTTTGTTATGAAAAATAAGTGAACTCAACGCGCAGCATCGCGCGGTTATAAAGTACTTCATGAAAGAGGGAAGTGCTGCGAAAGTTCTGTATGAAAAAATGACCCTACCCGTTCACTAAGGCCCATTTTATTGTCAAGCAAGATATTGGTTCGAACAATTTCGATGGGATCATGACTCGATTCAGGACCACCTGTGCGAATGTGGATGTAGGAACTGATGAAATCATAAGACATTACTACTGTTTGATCGATGAATGAGAATCTAAGTGCTAGCAAAACAAGCTGGAGTGTCCCAACATACTATACACGACCATTTGGTTACGAAAAAAGTGGTTGCTCGATGGATTCTCTCTCTCTCTCGCTCCTCAAGCCACAGAAAAACCGGGGAGAGGAGTGTCAGCAGTCAGGAGCGGATTGGCAGAGACGACGAAACGTATATTTCACTGGGTCCCTCTCACAAAAGAGGAATCAAGGCAGACTCTTAGTCTGAGGGAATTTAAAACAATTGAATGCTTGGGGCAACCCTTTACTCATAACGGAAAAAAACTGCACGACATTTGCAACGTTCACAAAGCTCCCATGTTCAAGTTATTATCGCAAACCGTGGCTTCACAGAATTACCGCATCCAATCTTCAGTCCAGATTTTGCATCATGCGATTGCTTTTTGTTCAAACATAAAAAATATCCCTGGACCACAGACTTGTATCAGATGATGATCTGAAACGCGCAGTCGCAGCGTGTTTTGAAACGCAAATACTATTTAAATGCACCAGAAGTTTTCAAAGTGAAAGCCCGAGTTCATCGAGCAAACTCATGAAAAAAAGACACTTTAACCACATATTGTAAACGAGCTTTTTTGCAGAGAGTGATCCTTAATGACGAATCATTGGATAGTATCATTAACATTCATGATTTTCAAAATTTTATGCGCTATTGTTCATAGATAGGACTAAACGCCATAGAAACGCATAGTAACAATCGTGGAGACAAAGTAACACTTTCCATACTATGTTTTTTACAAAAAAGTCCGGTAATTTGGTAACTATACACAAAAAGACACTTTTAACACGTGTTGTACACGAGTACATTTTATTACTACCATTTTTGTTTCCAATGCATTTTCTAATAGAACGCCTACTTCGGTAAATACCCCAAGTCCCACACGATGTGTTGCTATCACATGCTGAATAATTTTGAACTCCCGAATGGGAAAGAAAGTACCGAAAAATAAAATAAAAGGACAACAACAGAATTTTTAGATTTGCTTTTTATCATTCGTTTGTGAAAATACATGTTTGCCGGTGTTCATTCGATTGTTAACTTAATTTAAATATTTTAGTGCGTACGGTTTGAGGTCGTCCAGACTGGAAACAGAAACGTGCCGTTTTAATGACACACAAAAGCGAGTTTATATCCAAGTTCAGTGGATGAGTAGAGTAGGTGTCGAACTGCGGGATTCCCCAAATGTAGGTGTTAATAGTAATCATACGCAAGCAAAATGTTAATAAACTACCAATTACATACCGGATAACGTAAAATTAGGAGTTATATTCAAAAGTAATGATTCGTCTCCTTCAAGATTATCAGCACGCTTCTTGGATATGATTGCTGAACAGGGTTGTGAAAGGGATGCTGTCTCTCCTATTTTCTAAAACAATATTTCGCAGTAGTCAAAACTGGGAATAACGCAATTGCTTTTAGCAAGTTAATAATCTATGTAATTCATACAAATTTAGTGATACTTACCAATCGAATGACCGTAAACACACTAAGTGAAACAAAAACCGACGACAACATTCCTCTAATTGATTTTCGCAATTTTTGTGCACATGACCCGTTATTTAAACTGGTTTCCAATGACACCGATTCTTATATAGTCTTATGTATAACTAAGAACGAACCGAATCGATTAAGACATTCATGAGAGCGTTGAGGTTATCACTTTGTAATCGGAGGTGTAGTAGGAGGTGGCAAGTTATTATTTTTATGCCTTACTAACATATCATAGCACATTTTATATATGCGATACGCGGGCGGTACTTAATGCCCCAGAGCATTAAGTATCACCATAGTGACTTATTTATACTTAATGACAAAACAAACAAATATTTGCAGGTCATTGAAAATTAGAAACGTCAATTATTACATTACATGTCAATACCTACTAACTCACAAGATTGGCCTTATTTCGAATAGTTTCTGGAACTTCTTCCTCATTCATGATGAATTGAATTATTTAAAATTCCGTTTGACGTTTGGATGGTTTCAATCATATTAACAAATCCAAACCACGCATACTTGATCGAACATAATGAATTGGCCCTCGAGCTTTTTAACTCGTCACCCTCAAGAATATAAACATCACCAATACATAAATAACTATTACCCCACTTGTAGAAAACCTTAGTTTGGGAGACATTGTTTATATGTATACCTATAGACGCTCGTGTCAAGCAAGTGCAAAAGGTTTCCATGACCTAACTATTTTAAACAATAAAAGTGTGCAATTTGGGTTGCCTAGCAGTGACATCGCTCCTATTTAAATGATAATCTAAACCTATGGTTGAAATTCTATGTATGGATTGCTCGGCTCCCTAAAAGTGTGTTGCGAAGAAGCTTTTGACGAATGACATACAGATATATGATACAAGCACTAATTTACCTACATCTGGGAGCAATTGTCACATATCTCTTCCTGTATGAAATCGATCGCTAGGTTGAATAGTATCGGTGATGAAGGGGAGCCTTCTGCTACGCCACATTTTATCTGGATTGACTCATTTCTTATTGATATTTCAACTTTGTTGTTCGTGAGCAGGGCGATTATTGAGTCATACGAACTTTTCGATACACCTTTTGCAATCAGTAATTTTGAAAGTGGCCAATTCGGTTGAAAGCTTTAGACACACAAGAAAAGTGACAATGCTGTTCTTCTGTTTTTTTGCGTGTGATAGACAGACGTTGATCAGTTTTGCGTTGACATGGCCACGGATAGCCAAGGGGATGGCTTTGGATTTTCCACCTAAGATTTCAACATCTTTCAAAAAAGAGCTACCTTTCATCCCACCTAACTTACACTCACCTAACGCACTAAACGCGCATTCAGTCATCAGTCACTCAAATTAAGGGTACATTCAACGCAACCACGGAACGTACCGTGTACCGTATACCTTTTACAGTGACTGTATAAAGAAAGTGTGGCCATAATGCTCCATGCCGACCATGTTTTTTCCAATTTATCATTAAACTGATTGGTTTAACTGGTTTAACCGATTTAGTTTGGTTTTGGTATGGTTGTAATAACACATGGCGGATCTCCCAACTACCAATAGAAAATATCACCACCATTTTACCGCACTGTATCTATAAAGTCACTGTATAATATATAAACTAATATTATTCGCGCTACAACTGGTTGCCATTGATAAATGTCTCTAGTTGTCCCATGTTGACTCCAAATTTTCACTCAAAAACCCTATATTATATGCTCAAGACCCTTACCGATAAGCGGGCAGCCCATCAATTGCAAATTTGTAGGTAATATTACTAATTCCGACTTCTTGTTTGTTTAAAGTGACATCTTGGTAATCGTTAAATTGACACTTTAGTTCCTGTAATTGACACACCTCAAATTTTTAATCAAAAAGTATGCACATCTCACTTGGTACTAATCGCTTTGATCTCAAAGTGTGCTTCATCGTATCACTCAGAAGATAATAAAGTAAAGATTATCGCTCTTTGGACAAATTTAAAATCTTACACAGTGCCGGATTTAGTTCATGGACCGCCGGGGGCTGAGTCATACTATGCCGCCAGTAAGTAGGGAAAAAAGCTAAATCTTGGTTTTTTTTGTAATACTTCATTTAATTTTTGTTGTTTTTCTAAGTTTTGTCGCATGCATCTCCTTCATTTCCGCTCATTTTTTAGAAACTTCACGAAAACACTCCACTAATAAATGAGTGTAATTTTCTGCGCTAACGCGTAATGACGTAACGGAATTGACGACACGGCGTGTCAGAGTCGGCGCTGGCGGTGGCTGGCGCTGAGACAAAACAATACTCAAATTTAAATAAACCCCTAATGAGCATCTAAAAAAGCGGCATAGCACCTCGGTGTGACCCTATGCGGACACGCGGTCATTGGATTTGACCCATTTTCAATTGGCTTGTTACATGTGGTATATATGTTAACTGTGAAAAGTTTGCACTGAATAGATTCAAGCGTTTGCCAGAGACCGAGAGGCGTGACCCTACGGGGTCATTGGATTTGACCCATTTTCAATAGGCTTGTTACACGTGGCATGCGGGTCAACTGTGCAAAGTTTGAACCGAATCGGTTCATTCGTTTGGCAGTTATCGTGTTCACGGACGGACAGACGGACACCATCGACTCCCCTATAAAGCTTACATCGCTTTGCTCTGCCCCTTAATAATTGTTTGTAATAAGGGTTTACCAAGTAAATGTGCTCGACACAATATAGTCAATGGAAAATAGAGATAGATAACTTATGATGAGGTAATAAAGCGCTCCTTTGTCGTTTGTCAGCAAAGTGTAGATTTCCCGAAAACATGAAACGTGTTTTTGCTAGGGTTTTTGTGCGACCCAGCGACCTGCTACCGCCGGCAGCCCGAGCCCGGCACTGCTCTTATAGGTGAAGAGACGAAGTTTTATTACCATGCTATTTCTGAAACTGAACCCCAAAAATATCTACATTTAGAATTAAAACGTGACGGGAGCGACGACGTACCGCCTCTCAAAATTTACCGCCGGGGGCTAATAGTCCCATAGCCCCCCCCCCCTAAATCCGGCACTGATCTTACACCAAAGAAAAGTGTATCGAAACAAAATGAGAACATCTTAAGACTAGGCTTCATGTAATCGAAATGGAAAGGAAGACCGCGTGGATGTGCTAAATGGAACTGGAAAGAGCTCAATCACAAAGAAGTTACTCCTTGAGCTCGATGTCAACGATAAAATTAAAGCACGAGATAAAGATGTGAATGCCAACGATTTGAAAAATTTCGTTACTCTGGCTGAACATTTGGAGAGGGTGCGTTTGCCATCTTGACAGCAGAAACTTATTCGATCGCGGCTTACGCGATAGGAGCACAGGTCCCAGTCCCACAAGCCAGCAGAGCCATTTTAGAAAAATGAAGGACGAAATACATCAGAATTATAGGCTGATTATAGGCCCTTTTTGGACACTTGAACAAATTTTCAGGCGGCATCCTTTAAAGAAAAAAACTATGGCTCTGCTGGCTAAAGACGAAGCTAGCTGACCACTTGTGAGATTTGCTTCGAAGGCGAAAAATTCAGATCACAAAATTATAGGCTATTTATAGGCTTTTTCTAGACACTACAACAAATTTTCAGGCGGCATCCTTTAAACAAAAAAAACTATCATCCAGATCAGTTTGATTTTGCCCCTCTCGGAGATGTAGTGGATATTGTCTATTTATTGCCCCTCTCTTGTTCTGGGCCCTCAACGGGCTTTCGCCTAATTAATATATTTGTTTAAACTCTAACTTATATTTCAAAAATCCGATACAAATGAATACCAAACAATCCTCGAAATCTTCACACATACATCATTTTTACAATACACCCTAAGGCAGGGGTGCTCACACTTGAACTGCTGACTATCTACCTGAATTTTGTTAGACTCCGATAGATCGACTCTGAGAGGATGCAAGTATGTGTGAAGCATGTAACGTTCTCGTTACTTTCACTACACTTCTAAACATTCGAAGGGTTTCGTCCGCTTAAAATCTCTACCACCTCAATCGTCTTCCACCTACCGTATTACGACGTAACGGGGTGAATCTCGTTTTGTTACCGTCCCCCTCAGCCTTTACATACTTGGCGAGCAGTTTGACTCATCGAGAAGTAAAAAAAATAAAATTCGGGTAACTACCGGGTTTATATTGACAATTAGAACAGAATATTACATTAAATTCTTCCTCTTCCACACTTCCTTATAATCCCTTACGCTACAGAAAAAACCTAAAACAACCAACTAGCCTAACACTACGCTACTGAGTTTGATCAAAGGGTTATCAGTGGCCACTCTCTCTGTGATCTCTCTTATCAATTACTCCTACTTAATTACCTACTACAAGAACCTCCTAATACAGAATCAGATATACAATTAGAGTTAACTACAAGCTATGATTAAAATAAAAAAAAACGATGTCTATAACTGTTCAACACCGAAGATTGGTCACACCAAAACAGAGCAAGTTCACAGTACCTGATTCCAATTTTCGTTGGCGGTCTTCCTCTATTAATCGGTGACGATGCCGGTATCTCCAAGAGAAATCGATTGCAGGTAAACCCACTTCTGGCACTACTATTACAAACGTCGATATCAATACGACATTCACCCTTTTTAATAAGTATCGCTATTGATTATTGGTCGATCTTTAGAGATCTTTTTAAACTTTGATTTTAAACGGACAACCACAATTAACCCTGCCCGGCCGCTCTACTCGACAAATTTCCTTTACTTATTTGCCGCTTGACTCTCGAATTTCGCGTTCAACTCCTTTACGACACCGCCGAAAACGCAACTTTGCGCCCACGAATAATTCCGCGACCTGCCAGGCGTTCGCTTCCCTGGCCCATCGTCGCGAATCCCTCTTAATCTTTTCCAAAACTCTCCACTTACGCCTTTCATTTCCCACACGCCCAAAGATTGACTCCGCACAACGTATCCAATGAAATTCAAATCCAGCGAACCGACACCACTACTATTGGCCAAATTCAAAAATATCCGGTAACGTTAAAAACAACCCCCCTCATCAAAAAAAAAGAAAAACCGTTCTCACGCAGGTGGACCGTGACTAATTTTGAGATTTATTGATATGTCGCGTTTTGGGAGAGATACGCATCATTAGTACTCCGAACAGCGCGAAATTTGATCAGTGTGACTGAACATATCTTTGTCGGTAACTTTAGTTAGGCAATCGAGCTGTAATTTATTGGAC